AATGAACTACTCTTGAACAGGTTTCTTAGTACAGAGGGTCAAGATCGGACGATAATCATGAAGCCTCAAGGCCTACAAGGGGCCCGTCACTCGCCTCCGGCTAAACCGGTTCACAAACTCCTGAGGCCCATACCTACTGTAAAGGACGTGTTGGATGCACGTGCGTCATCTTAGGACCATAATGAAAGAGGGAATCCCAGCTCCAATAAGTATTAGTAAACGTATGTGGACATGTATGCACTTAAAAGGGTTCTCGGTCAACCCCCTTATGTTACTTGTTGACCAGCAGATTTCTCAATCCGGTCAGTGACGTTGGAACTAATCCAGATACTTTCCAAGGTAGCATGGCAGGACAAAGTCAACGATTCAATCTAGAATGGTTGTCAGATGACGACAAGAAATTTCTCAGAAGTAGAGCATTAGATGAAATTGGCGGGAAATTCGAAATGGATTTAAAACTGTCATGATGGTACGACGTACTGTCAAGTCTTTTGTAATATTTTAGAAAGGGTTCAATGATGACTTAAAAAATAATGGTACGTAAGGATTGCTTATGAAACGGCACTTTAATTGTGTCTGGTTTTAAAGTTCACCTTGGGGGTGAAAGGATCGGTTATTGACAAGGTAACCAATTTATCAGATCGCGACACTGTCTAATCTTTTGAACCTAGGGCAGCTTGAACAATCATTAGGGAGATATAGATATACGTACTTACTTATGTATTATAGTATATCCGGTGATCCTATAGCTGATTGACTACGGAATATCGTTTCGTGATGATCTGTATATTATTAAGGATTCTGATGAATATAGTACGTAGACAAAGCGATTCCATTTAGGTATGACAGCAATTTGAGATAAGAGTATCAAATTCAGAATTTTTGTTTGAATGAGACCAACGTAAAATTATTCGAGTTCGACGAACCTTTGAGATCAATGTCTACGAATGTGTAAAGAGCCTAGATATTCGTAAGGGAAATTTCCAAAAATTTCATATTGAACGTGAACTCAGATTTAAGTGGCTATATGAGACAAATAGTATAGTATACAGGGTGTTCCGAAATTACCTGACCAACGGGATATGACAGTGTTCAAGAGGCACCACTGGTCTGTTTCTAATGAAATATCGACGAGTGTCAATTCCAGTAACATCCATTCAATTCCTAATACTTAATGTACATAAAGTACTGCGGCGAGGCATAAAAGTGTTTTGAAAAAGTAAAAAAAATTCAAACCACTGAGTAATATCTAGATTGAAGTCCTTGAAAACAAATGATAGGTATAGGAGTCACTTATTTTCCTGATTCGCACTACGCAGTCAAGACCCCACTAACTAAATATGTAATAATAACTTTCCGGGAATTACGTGTACCCATTGACATTAAAAGACAACCAGGAAATAATTCATTTTTATTTACTCATAAAAATCGTAAACTGATCTCAGATCGATTATTGAATGAGTGATCGATTTTATATTTCAACTATATAAGAAACAGTCATCGAACTATAACAATATCATTACATATAAATTTACATATAATTTATTATACATTATACATATAAACAGTATAAGTCATATCGATTCTATGAGAAGAATATCATTTTATTCTCATTAACAGTACCATCATAATGTATATATTCTATCCTAGGCATTAAAATCACTAATTGTATCTAATAGAATGTCAGATCATTATCGAAAGTAATTTCTCGATGATCTTGATCCGTTTCAATAGCAATGTGGGACAATACAATATTATGAGGATATAATAATTATATCCAAGATCCGTGAGTATGGTATTGTCGATTAACGAACGTCCCTCGATATTTCAATGATCAAGATACTGCGTCATAGAATTTACTGGACGCGTCGTCTAGATATTGGAAAAATAATAGCAGGGACGTTCAGTGAATTCCAACTGCAGAAAAAAAATGTACAATTCTAAATAACCGACGTGCCGCGATAACGTGAGAGCCAGTTTTGTTAATGAGCTTACAATTACAAGAAAGGCCTTGGTAGTTACTTGTCCTTTTGGTTTCTTTTTTTTTCAATCTTTCGTAGCTTTAGTCACTGACTCACACAGCCAGTTACTTTGATACCACCTGCGGTATCGATATGAATCTTAAGAATTCCCTGGTTACGTTAATTAATGACATTTTTTTCATCTTTTTCTACGTATACTACGTAATTTTAATTATCAAAGAATACCTGTCGTCTTTCGATATATTAAAAATATATATGTATACAATTGAGTTGACTGTATTGTCAGTAACAAGTAGATGTATCGGTGCTAAATACGGTCGAATTAATAAATATACATTATATGTGAATTATAAGTTTTTAATTACTCGAGAAAAAAAAATTATTTCTATTACAAAAACATAAACATACCTTCACATTGCAAATATGTAATAATTGCGTTATTCAGTTTTCGATATTGATCGATTAGAATGCATTGAATTGCACAATATGAAATTACTAAGGATAACAATTTTCGCAATATTTATATATGAACTATGTTATTATATTAATGGCTATCTCGAAGTGACTTACAAGTTTAAGTAACCTAACACGCCTCTGCGCTTATTATACATTTTATTTTAATCTGAATGATCGCAACTACCCTTGCCTTCTGACACGACCCAAATGGCCATGTTGTGAAATTGTAACATTATTTATATATTATCTTTTATAAGATTTATCCGTAACCTTGTCATTGAAGCATTTCTGGAAAATTCTCCATTCTTAACAACTACTCCGAACAGTAAGAATTCTTGGAACTTGCTATGGATTCTCCATACAAAAACTAGTCAGGCAACGACCTACCTTATGCATGTATAAACTGTGCATAAAGAGGGACGTGCGAGACGTCTCGTTGATTATTTTTTTCCTATCAGATTTTATCGAAGAAAATAATCATCTTCGGGAAACATCGATAATAATAGATGCTAAATGAAAAAATGAGAGTCACATGAGAATGACCGTGAAGCAAGAAGCGTTGGATTCTGAGAATGACAGGATTCACTTTTAATTAAATTTATGCATAAAAAATATAAAAATAATATATTGGAAATTTCTGAGTCAATACATAATATTCTTGGAATTATCCTTCGATTTCAGATGATTCTTAATAAGTGATGGTAGCAATTTCGTTATACCTCTTTGTTACGCGCAAATAACCTTTGAATATTTTGTTAGTGAGTTTCCGCGTTTGGCAAAACCACAACGCAAACGATTGAAACCGCAAAAGGATTAATGTTTAAACGTAATACAGTATATATACATATATATATAGGTATAAGTCAGTGCAAGATGTAACCTTGCGAAGAATAATCAGTTCCGTCAAACTGATTTACACTTCTGTGATTCCCAATAATTATTGCGCCAGTCAATAATTAGAACATTTTCTTATTGTTCTGTATCTTTCCATAACTGCATTTATGCAAAAAGTATTCCACGATATTGAATCAACCAGTCGACTCCGTCTTGACAAATACAATTATCAAATATCGAGCTCCGTGAAACTCACTTTTTTTTTTTAAATAAACAGTTTTCCTGTATATCAACTAGCGCGCCACACGCGGCCTTCCGGCCGCAGTGGCTTGCCGCCTTGCATCGCTTCGCGACGTTTCGCGTTTTGCGTGTAAGGCACGACCGCTGACGTTCGCGCTTTGCACTCACCAGCCCACCGACGCTCCCGCTTCGCGCTCGCCCAAATTTCTCTACAATTGTGCTTAATTATTGGACAATCGTTTATATTTCATAATTATATGACGTATTGAATATATACAAATACAAAGATTCAATTTAAACCGATAAATTCTTTAACTTCAATAAAAATGAATGTTGTAAAAATTTGATTTTGGGCTGCTAACTTGAGTAGTAAGCATTTTCATGATTTGATGTCAAGAGGAAAAAGTTGTATTTTTGAAAGATCTGCAACTTTTCCATTTAACGTTTTTTTGTAGAATGCTTAGAATTCGAGTTACAGACAAAAAACCGTTTTTAGCGATTTTTGGAGGTGACCGCATTCTGCGTATATGTACAGGATCAAGCTCAAAATAGAACCATAAGGTTTTAGTGATGAGAGGAGTCACCACAAAAAATTTTAGCCCGATTGACTGAAGTCTCTCAGAGATAATCGTGTAACATGAAAATTTTTATTAAATAATACACGAAAAAATCGTAAAATCGATCAAATTGTGCTCCCATTTTGAAACGACGTAGAGGATCGGGATAAAAAAAAATAGTTTTTTAGTTTGTACGAGAGGAGACCTCCCCCAAAATTTCAGCCCGATCGGCTGAAAATTGCGTGAGATATCGCATCTCACACATTTTTCACGATAGAAACTATAAGGCACTTGCGTACCGCGGTCGTGCCTAAAAATGAAATATTATTCTTCCCGATCGTCCTTGATTCGATGATCCTTAGTATTTTTCGTATCGGCATGACAAGCATTTATAACGTGTAAATATTAAAATTTCAAAAAAGTATCTACATGCGTTTTATTGTGTAAATTAACATGCATTTATATTAGGTGTTAAAATCGCACATTATTGACGCTCGGTTTGTCAATATTTCGACTTGGTTCAATGAATTCTGAGAGTCCGCTATGTAGTGAACGTTACTGCTATTGATCCTCACATTATGTATGATCAATTAAAAAGCCCCAACCTGATATCCGCTATTCGTCACGCCCCAAATTACTTGTATGTCTATTAATAAATCAGATCAAACAACTTCTCTTCTGTCCAATGATTTATTAGTATGACATACAGAGCGACGAAAACAAAGGTTGCAAAATATGATCAACTACCGATTACATACGGGACGAGAAATGATAAAAAGCTTTATAGCTCTATATTCAAGACTTGTGTCATTTTAATTTCGGTTAGCGATTCTTACAACACGGTATGAAATAGCCCTTAGTAAAATTGGCATTTGCGATAATGTTTTGTTAAAGGTAATAAATCATTTTCATTTGATTACCATTGATTTATACCCGCGTGTAGTAAATCAATGGATATCAATGAGTAACCATAACGTTTGACAAAACACCACAGGCAATGGGAGTTTTTCCTACGGGTGTACCAAAATAAACAAAAATAAGGTTGCGATCGGTCGTATGAATATCTAGATAATTTATTCAATGGAATTTCCAAACGGACATTATGATCTTAATCGATGATCTATATTTGTATTCATCTCGTGTAGTGGTCCTGATGCTGACGTCAGTATTTGTCGATATAAAAAGCATTAAGAGATATTCGCAAGGATATTTGGGTTTGGCGTGTGATTATTTTATATTATTGTTATATTCTTGCTCATACGTCACGTTGAATAAGAATTGTCGTAGTTCGTGGTGATAGTCTGGTATCATGGAAGCAAAAAATGTCTTGTCCAGGGTTATGATCTAAATATAGATTTGAATAATATGTACAATATACAAATTATGTCAGACGCTCTGATGGACCATGAACAAAAATGACAATTTTGAGAATTTTGATGTAGCACGTTGGATACTGGTTTTACGAGTGATATTTGTGCGGAACAAACACAGAAGTGAAAATTCATCTGACAAGTCAAATTCATAGAATTCTGGAAATTGGATTTTTAAAAATATCTTTATTACGTCAGTATTCGTTCCAAGCATTAGAAATTCTGACATATATATATATTGTAAATAATTTATTGTGTGTTAGACAGTGTTAAAATCAAAGTTGATCAAATTGATTATTTCTGCGATTAATATATAATTAATTTTTGTATTACAAATGTATATATTTACAAAATTACAAACTTTTTATTTTATATACTCAATTACTAAAATACTTAAAGTAGTCGTATTCTTTATTTTAAATAATATATAGGTGCTAACGTGTAGTAAAATAAGTGATTTGGCAGTTAATAAAGGATGTGATTTAATCACTGCATCCTTATTGGAATTTCGTTTATAGAGCTTATAAGGTATGTTCTGATGATCACAGTTGATTGTTATTATCAATCGATCAGTTATAAATCATTCTAATCACCAATTTGATAAACGATCCATTACTTTACTGACTGATTCAAAAAAGTCTCCTCTACTGCCTTTACGTGCTTGCTGTAACTGATTACAGTCATCGGACGTATTTTCATTTACTGTATTAGGTAATGACATATAAGATGTTCTTGACGATGGATCAATCGATGAATATCCATTAATAGCAGAATCGTCATTCTCATTAATTGTCATATTCAATCGATCATCTCCGTCGCCTAAATTTAATCTCGACGATTCCAAAGTTTTAGTCATTCTTTTCGGTGGTCGAAAAGACATAAGACTATTTGAATGATTCCTTTTGGATTTTATAGGTAAACTACTGTGATGACGAACTCTAGAACGCTTATCAACTGTCGGTGTATCAGTTTCAGGATAATCATTTCTGGCATGATTATCATTGTCTTCATCAATACTATCCGATTCCCACTCATCCATCTCTAAGTTTAAGGACAGGTTAGATTGCTCGGATTTACAAGAGGATGCATGGCGATTTCCAAAATTTGTGTTATTCACAAAATCATGTAAAGCCCCACGATCCAGTCCACTTATCTTGATAATCATTGTAGGCTCGTTATAATCATCGTCAAGGCGCTCTCGACTACGCGCTAAGATTGCAGCAACTCCACGCAGGACCTCGTTCTGAAGTTGTTGAGACTCTTCTTTACTCTTTTCCAGCAACGTCGAATGACTGGTTGGATGATTGTTTTCTAAATTTTCTTTATTAGCAGGTTCCATTTCTAACGATCTATCTGACGATCTTTTTCGCTTTACATTAATCCACATAGTTTTCAATTTATTCGATATATTTGATAAGTATTTCCTGTCTGTGCTTTTCGTTGCGCCAGGAGTCCCTGTATCACTTCGTATAGATTCATTGACCGCATTAACGAACGATGGAGCCGTTTGGTACTGGGAGGCTGTACTTTTCGTCGGCTCAATCAGTCGTTCTTTCGGTAAGTCCAATGATCTCGTCACTTCCGTTTCGGAGGTTTTGTGCAAACCGGAAGACGACGGACCTGGTTGATCATCCATATTTGTTTGGCATTGCATTATTTTAATCGGTGATTTACATGAATTATCTGTATTTTGAATATCTGGTTTAATTTCAGAGCCTTCAGATACAGTATGTCTTCCCATTGTAGATTGCGTTGTCTGAACTGATGCAATTTCCGGTACGGAAATTACTCTATTTTCTGGTACTTCGGCATAGCGCAAAGCCTCGTTTTCCTGCGTTGCTCCAGATGACATCAGGTTTCTTAAAAATTGTTCACGACTGATGCCGCTTATCTTGATTTCTATTTGAGATGATTGATAAGAATCTGCTGATCCAGATAAGCGTCGAGTGTCAATTCCTTCAGGAATCGATGAATTTACCGATCCGTGATCCTGTCCATTTTCCGATCCAGCAGAATGTTCATTATCTATTAAAAAAGAATAAAACAATTTTTCTTTCCACGTCATACTACTCACAGGGTTCAGTGCTTCGACCAATTGGGAATTATGTAAATTCTCACGAACAAAAACATGCAGTCTGACTTCGTATAATAGCTAGGCACTTCATTATACGTATTACGCAATGACAACGACCTTATGACAGCGCCACTGAACTCTGTGATTTTAAATTGTATTCGGTTAAATACAGTATCTTACTTTTCGGTAAATTAATTTTTAACGATCTTACAAGAAATTTATTAAGTCTACTTACTGCTCCTCCTTCTTGATTTATTCCAATAAAACCAAGGCACTGTACAAGCTGCGACGACTCCGACGCTCAGGGCAGTTCCCAAAATTATTATCATTTTCGTACTCGCTATACACTGAATAAAATTACGAACACGTACCATTTGAATTTAATTTCTTAACATTGTAACGAGTACTGCTCTACGTTGGCTCAAATTGGAGGTATATAAATATTGGATGAGTCAGGATGGCCAATAGGATTAGTAAATACAGTTCTCCTTGGCAACGAATTAACTAGGGAATAATTTCTATATTTGTGTTTATACGAAACTTGTCATTTTCTCTATAATATATATGTTTTTGATTTATATACTCTATGAAATTACACGCTCTTGGGTATTGAGTGTTGGTATTATACAATTAAATATATCCCTTGATGGTGAATATCGACGCTATTGATAACTCTGGAGAAAATGAATTTGGACAAAATATTTTGCATCATGTTTGTCATGCGAAATTTTGCACATTGTTTCCTGAACGTTTTTTTTTTTGTATTTTCACAACATAAGGAAATATCGAAGTGTTCGGTTCACAGTGGACCACTTTCTGTAGACTGATTCATAGATTGGAAGAAAAAATTAAACGAATCAAATCCACGGGTGTTTGTTATTGATTTTTTGTTTGTGCAAATAAATCCACGATTAAAGAACCAATAAACTGAGTCATTATGTAACTCCAAGGTTGTCGACCATCTTATCGTTTATAAGATGAAAAGGCAACCGATGACTGGCCTTGTTTAAAAATTTTCAACTGACATTCACAAATTTGCAAAAAATATTGGAGCAAACAGGTTTGCCGTTAGTTGACTGCTTATTGAAGGATGCGAAAATATCTTCGCCTGTGCAAATAAATTAATATTGTAGATAAAGAACGTTAAAGTTACAAGTGCCCGAAATTTGCAAATTCAACCATTCCATCAATATCCGAATATATTTTTTTTGTAAATTTTAGATAAATAAGATATGAAATTTTTTAATTATTTTTTCCAACGTGCCGACTCGAAACCGGAAGTAGTGGACATTTTTCCTGTATCATGTAATCGTCGTAAGAATATCTTCAATAAAAAAATTGCATTGTATGTTACATATATACGCATGACGTAATACGCAATCCAATTTTTAAAAATTTATACGGATGAACCTTTTTCATAAATATCTATAAAAACACGTCAAAGTGAGAAGTATCTCATCAGCAGGTAGCAGACTTCCAATTAGGCCTTGGCCTTGCACTTTTACTCATAATCAAGTAACTAATAAACCGAGTCATTATGCAACTCGAAGGTTTCTCGACGATATTATTGTTGATATACAAGAAACCGTACTCCAATGATCTCAGACAAATAAGTTCACTTGGATGAAGTTAGCAATGTGAACTATAATTCGCTATTTCTACGCTCAATTACTTCACGTCACGGATTTCCACTTCTGTGAATACCGTTTACTCTGATGTCTAAATAAATTTCCATTAGTTCTTGGTGCACGAAATTTTTCTTTTAGCGACACCATTTAGTGTAACAATCGTTAGACATCCCAACCATACATTTTTTAAATAAATACGAAACGGCGTTTATATATCCTCTCGCCAATGTAATTTATCGTTTAATTAAGATCAAAGCAGAAGTACATTTTGTAATTACTCGCTACATTTTAGTATCGTTCATCAAAGGTAAATTATAAGGCGAGAAATCTTTTTGAAAGTTTACCATTATATCCATTTGCAATACTACGTTACAGGCAATAAAGTCGTCACCCTCCGTGGAAACTTGACTCTGTAGGCATTCGAAAAATTCTGTTCTAACGTTGCAATTATCCGACTTCCATACAATAAGGAAGCCATTAAGCGGCTAGAACTTTAGAAAAATAATTGCAGTATTTTGCATTTAACTGTTAAGCTGATGCAATACAAAGTACGTACCGTTTTGCATCATGTCGTCTGGATCCGTGTCCTTTACGTATCAATAGCGATACGTGCACCAGTATATAAAACAGATATTGTTCCAAACAAAAACACCAATAAAAAAATCTTTGCATTAATCATATATTTATTACAGATAAATTATTCTCAACTATTTCAAAAGACGAAACGAATACAGATTAATTATCAACGATCCAACTGCCTTAATAAAATTTCAATACATTCTCTTAATCACTCTCCTTAGCCTTAAGTGACGGCAATAATAATAATCATACGCGATGACAGCATCAAATCTACGATTTATCTATTAATTCTTGGTAAAATAATGACGTGTTAATCAAAAAGAAAATAGCGTCTAAATTTTCTTGGCTTTTCTATTAATTTACCTATATGTAATAATTACCTTGATACAGTAGCCAAATCCTCGTGAGTCCCTACTAATTAGCGATACTATCTGACATATTCAATAACTGATTTCATATCAAATGGATCGATTAAAAAAAAGACAAAACATTTACAAATGTACTTAAAGTTTGTAAAAAAAAGTGTAATAATGGAAATTGTTAATTGGCAAAGATCTGTTTCGATAAGTATCCGGGAATTGAAGTTAATTAAGCCAAGGACACATATAAGATTTATGTACCACTCGAGCTATTAATTAATTGTGTGATATATCTATATAAGAAGACACAGAGAGTGCATCGCTATAAATGGTCTCCAAGTGCAGATTGCTGCTCTCCGCTCTTCGATCTTATCGTTCCGCTTAACGACCACAGTGAGAAGTCAAAGGGGAGACCCTTTAAGTAGACTTGCGTACGTAAAAAAAAACATATACGTTAAAAATATAACAAGTACAAAGAATTTAAAAGTACAGTCAAGTACAAGTACAAAAGTATATGTTAAAAGTACACTGCACAAAGCTGACACAAATTCTATAGATCTTACAAGCATGTGCGTTGTCAATCGCTTTTGTACAGGACTCTACTTTCGTTTTCCAACAAGTAACGCCATTGGCCTTTGGCCAAGACACCGATTCGCATAAAATCCGACAAGACAGAGTCTTACCGATGCCAGCCGCCTGTCCCCTGTAGATACAACATAAATAGTACAACAGCGTATAAGTGCAGTGTCTACCTATAACGTTATCTAAGCATGTTCAGAACACATAAGTGAAACTGCACGCGGTATATATACGACCCCGACCCCTTTAAGTCAGGTTCAAACATTTCACACTGTACGATTTCAGCGAAAAGAAAAGACTTGTTACGCAAGTCAATGAGGAACGAATAGATTTTTTTTTATAGTCGATTAGGAAAAAAAAATCCAATTTTTCCAATCGTATAAACCGTTTGAGTCTTCTGTGTCGTTTTCTGATATCGGTACGAAAATCGACCGTCACGGAGTAATTGACGTCGTCCGACACGTCTTTAGTTCACATTGAATTACGTACGAAAAAAACGTATTTATTTTGTTACGCCTCGATTGATTAATCATGATATTATGTTCTATGATCCTTCGTATATCTTTACGTGACTTTGCAGTGAGGTTGTTTTGAGAACGTTTTTACCTTCGAACAGGATCCCTCTTATCATAGCGAAACATAACGGATACAGGACATCGCTCCATGACTGGACACGCTGGCTTCCCGTGATCGCGATTCATTATTTCTTTTCTTCGTCCTCTCACCGAATCAGGTAACTATGGATACCTGATGTTACGTAATCGTTATTATGATTCTAGACTTTTTCTGATTTCTAAGCAAGATAGTACAGTGATAAATTCATGATCAGATGTTTATCATCGATCGCTTAATTTTTGTGGAATTATTCCGAATGTATTGCTTACTTTAAACATTATTTATTTGCACGAAAAGACATCGGGATGTAGAATTTTACTGTGTGAACAAAAAAAAATTGGTCAATTTATTCGTTATCAGATAGAAATTATAATTTTTATTGTTATATTTGAAAGTGCGACAATTGATTAATTAAGTTTATTCAGTTATAAAATAATGAGGCCAGAAACTCAATCGTAAGTGCTGGCTCCGTTTCGGTAAGTTAAATGATTAGGCTATATAGTATGTCGGTAAAAATGATCAACCGAATTATTATAATTGTATTACTGTGATATATCGTAAAATCATGACTTAAAAACGTGCTCTCGAATTCTATTAAACTTTTACGGTGTAAATGGTATTCGAGGATAAGAAAGAACCACAATGGATATACTGCGGGTAAGTATGTACATAGAGCCTAATAACCACTAGATTGGGACCTTGAGTCTCGTGAGAGTTTTCGCGGACGTTATTCGTCACGTAGGACATGCATAATTGTATGTATATACAGTGCTGAGTTTATGGCCACAATCACGTAACGCACTGAGGGAATAACGTCCTATTCTTATGCACCGAGATGGCTAATAATCTGTTACGTTCCAAAGGTCCGAAGGATTTTTACATTCCTCTGTGGACTCCTAGTCGTGACCTTTTCCGAATGAGACATTAGTAAAAGCAGCATCGATGGGTAACAGGACGAGCATGAAAATTCATAGGACACAGAATCGTATGCAGAATTAAGAGCAGATTTTTATCGAACGAAATTGACAATCCTGATTATCATATGTATTTATGATATGTATCATATGTATGAAATGTATGGTTTTTATTTTTTATTTTTTTTGAAGATCGTAAACGTTCAATCGAAATAAAAATTCTGTAACGTTACGATCGCGATCAATGCCAATCTGATTAGGTGGAGTTTTTGGAAAAATTGGACTCTTGGATAACAACCGCATAGCAATTGACAGTCACCACCGCAAAATAAAAAGATGGCGGCTTTCTAGAACACGCGGCCTTGACTCGCACTCCACGCCCACATCCGCGCCAGGGCAACCAGGGAATGTATATCCTGTACATTTATTATCCTCGATTTGATTTGACGAAATTTGTGAAAATATTGACTTATCTGTTAATGATTACATCGCATAATCCTTGATTTCGTACTAATAATTTTCGATGCTATTAAACAGTTTTCGAAATTCCTATTTTTACGGACGGTCAAACAGGATACTTGGGTAATCTATTTTTTTTTAATGATCACAAAATCAATGATAAACTAAAAATACGTTACGATCGCGATTACAATATTGTTTATTCTGAACAAACGTAGAAGGCAAAAGAATAGAAAAATACTCTCGAAGGAATAGTCTGTGATGTAGACCAATTAAGTAGCTGTCTATTACACGGAATAGAGAAAAAAATGAATACAGGCTTACCTATCCGGTTACTCTTAGATCATCGGATATTTGATGACCTTTATTGATCGTAATTGCATACTGGATGCACTTATCAATTAGCGTACGTGTACTGTCACAATAATGTCGATTCCTAGAATCTGACTCATTCAGATTCAGTACTTTTGTACACTTTGGAGAATCTTCAGCTAGTCGCCAACGGAATTTGTGCATATTTGTGATAAGAAAAAAATTAATTAAATTGAATAATAAAAATTTTCCTTTTACAAATGTAAATCGATACAGTAATACTGAAACAAGATCCTGAATGAATCCTGTTCGTGGATCGATTAATCATTGTACCAAACCACGATCTCTTTGTTCTAACTGCACCTGCAACCAGGAGCCGATAGTGCAACAATTACCACTGTATCTACAACCTCATAATCACTACAATTGCAATATAATTCCTGTTATAATCCAATAGCATAAATTCACATAGATAATCTTTCTGATTTCGATATACGTTACACTATCATTTATTTTAATCATTCATTGCACCATATATTTACGTATGTTACATATACGTAGATACATATGCATATACATATATACCTCTATCCATACCCAAAATATAGTTTAGTAACAAATTTTTCAGTAAACGTACATTTCAGACTTTAAAAAATCTAACTTGAACCTCTAAATATTTAACGTACACTTTGAAGACAGTAAAGGTTCGTCCACACCGAATTTTTTAAATAATTTCAATTCTAATTTGAATGGATGTGGTTAGTATTTTATTTAGTTAGTTTAGGTTCAGTTTTTTTAAAATGTTAACTTCCATGTGTGAATACCCCATAATGTGCCCGATCCCCGAAATGTACGTTTAACATGATTATACTATATTACATTATGCAATTCACAAATAATGACATACTACGATTGTTGGCATCCAGATATTTATCATAATACTACAATCTATAATATGTATATATCGTATATACGTATATACATCATACTGGCATATATTAACTTATGCCAAGTAAGCGTGAAAGCAATAAAATAACGCATTACAGGAGACCTTGATTTTGGCTTGGAGAACATACAACATCTGCACTTATGGTGAGAGTCTTGTTTCCCTTCACGTTCCAATTCGTAATACATATATTTCAATAATATTAACAAACTGTCAGGCTTCGAATAAGGGCAATGCTAATGCTACGTACGATATATCCTATATGAGTACGTACCTTACTACGTTAATGAATAATGTACATAGTACATATGAATGTATGTTTGCATTCAAAAACATATTTGTGTACATATATAGTCGTTTATGACAAATGAGAATGAAATCAGGATAAAATACCTAGGTATCATGTATCCAGTATGCTAGGAATCTCGTCAGCCCGGATAAATCAGTTCTTATCAATGATATGTAAGATCAGCACGATATAACTCGCAGTCTATAGCTTTGCAAGATGTCGTTAAGCAGGTGTCACCATACTCATTCGATACTCCTGGATCAATGATTTTGATTAATTATCAAGTAATAATTATTTTCAGTAGATCTATAAAAAGATATTTGTATTAATTAAATTATCGATTGATAAGTATTTATACTGTACTACGGTATGTTTATTTAGTAAAGATCAGTATGACATGAAACTTGAACTAATTATTGCAAAACTAACAATCGTATTTCTTGATATTAATATTCAATTATACCTGATCGAATGTTATTACTTATTACCAATAGATCAATTGAATCGAGTATCGCACGGACTCGGCTCGTTAATTTCTTCTCCTCGCGCAATCATCAGGCCTTAATCGTTTAGTTGAGAGAGATAACGGTGGAATTTCAAAATGGCGTCCCAGCGCATATATATCATGTTGCAAGTAGATGGATAATGACGGTTCAGCATAATCGCGTCTAGGTGCATATAAGTATACGTATATAGATAGCAAGCGTTAAAAAAAGGTCCGATGACGTAAATCTTGTCGAAATCAGGACCTATGTATTTCTGTATGATTTATAGATTTATAACATACGTTACACAGAAATTCTCGACAATACGAGAAATATTTGACTTAATTAATATAATTGTCGTTGACACGTCATTAAGAGACGATAGGTGGCGACCTTGCTGATTACTGCTGGAACTTTACGTGCGGCAGCTCTATGTGTTTCAGAATCGACATACCTGTGGGAGGATCTATATATCTATGTTCTTATGTTAATTAGTCCATTCGTCTAATTAATTATTAATTAACGGATCAGCTAGCTGAGATTCCCTTAAATGGCAAGGACTCTTGTGCAGCTCACGTGATACGCATTGTAGGACGACTAGGTATCTTAGATATGTGTATTACGTGAAATCGAAAGATTTGACATTTAGCTAAATACTGTAACGTAGATACAAAGTTTAGTGGCGTCCGAACATAGCATACTAATTTTTCTATGGCCTAAATTAACAACGGCACGCATGCTTACGTTTTTGTCAGTAACAACGTAGCGGTCTGGTATCTACTTTATATATTGACTAATAATATGGAACAAGGACAGTCTAATTGCCACACGTTATTTCATCTGTAAAATCCTAAGCTGATTGCTCGAATCGCCCAGAATTAAGGACAGTCGATGGCTGACTGTTTGCACAAGGTTAATTTAAGACCAATACACTTTTTCGTTGAAAAGCTAATACATATTATTTGTACTTACGTATTACGTGCATGCGCATGATTTATAATATAATTTTTATGTTCTAGAACTTAGGGTAATCATACAGAAAATACATGGTCATTTAGGACTGTTGTATCGCCTGAGTTTAGCGTTTCATTAATTCCAATGAAACTGTCTTAAAGTGGTGCAATAGTCCTGTGTAATGTATGTATAATTAATTTTATGCGTCTACTAATTTTGTTTTTTAATCTTAGAACAATAATTGTTATTGTATCTATTCGCTGTGCATATACAAATGTAGGTATATCTGAGCGAGCACGTGTTCAAATTTATAGTCAGTTTGTCTGCGCCATCTGTACTGCTCACTGTAAGTTCTCGATGCATATTCGTTTTATATGTACATTTCTGTACACGATCGCTAACGTAAGTATAACCGTAGTGGTATAACTGCTTTAGTACGCATCTAGCTGACAGCGGTAAGCGCCACTAGTCCAACACGGAGTCGAACCAAACTAAAGAAGAAGTACAAGAAATACATAGTGGTTGTTGGACATCTATATCGATTTCTGGAAACTATTTTCTTATGGGTTGTTCTATAAGAATGTCTATTCAATTTGACGCTGATTTAGAATCATGTTTGCAGTAATTCTTGTTGCTATTAAAATTAATTGTATCATAGTTATTTGTGACGGTACATCAGTGAATTTTCGAACTAACTCAAACAGTAGTAAGTACATTGATCTAAAAGAGAATGGCTGGGCTGAATCTCTATACAAATAATAGTACAGGCTAACATTTTTTTTGAAATTATATTTATTTTTTTTGTAAAATACTATAGATATAATTATACCTTAGTTGCACTGAAACAATAAGAGTCAGTACCACTATAATTCCTTTTAGCTACTACTACCATAAACAATTATTGTCTTTTGACAGTTTACATTATCAGTAACTTCTTCATGTACATTTGCCATGGCAGATCGGTACAATTATTATGTCGATACACAGTGACAAGTATCGAACGTTATGTCGTTGATAGCTGACTGATAGTTTGTCATTATAGTCGCAAATGCAACGAAGCAGTCATCATAAAAATTCTATTACGCCGGACCACACCTCCGCGACAAGGTTAGATTTTTATCTATCGTTACAGTATGCTAACTTACGGAATACCTCCTTCGTATCATTTCACCACACCTAACGCTCGCGATCTGCATATCATTAGGATTTGTCGATTCTGCGTAGTAAAGTGGATATATGCATGGCTGAGAATAGCATCATAAAGCATAAACGCGAATCCGCATGAAATGCAGCAAAATTTCATAATTGCTGTATACATACATAATCGTGCATGCAAATCAATTATATATCATTGATCTAAATTTCATCACGATCGAATAGGATTGATGATTTTTTTATTATCTTATAAGTATTTAATGTCACAATAATAGTTTGGATAATAACGTTTCTCCGTATAGCGCATTTTATTCAACAAGTCTAAAATCCATGACGTATCTATTAGCTGTGATGAAAAGTGTATACGTGGAGTGCGGTCAATCATTGCAATAAGGTCTGATATATATATATATATATATATATATATATATATATATATATATATATATTTAATGTATACTGTTAATAAAGATCAAGTCAAATAAATTCAGCATTAGCAAATACCGTATTATTAATTTAAGTATTGTTATCATACCCATTAAGGGCTACTGGATTATTTTGATTGACCACCCCCACCGCTTCCACTACCTGATTACCAGTGATTTCGCTTTCTTTTTTTATTTATTTTTAGGTACGCAGTCGAGGAACAGGAATATGGTTTTAAGAGTATCCATCATGGATGACGTCACGGCCACGGTGGCGCAAAGGTAGCGGAGTACGTTAGTAAATTATGGCCACTTGTTCAGCCCTATTTTTAGCTCGGACCTGGGTATTATTTATAGCATATTTTCCTCATCTCAATAAAAACTGTTTCGCGAATTTTTAGGATGCGAGGAGAGTGTATTTTATCTTAAAAATTTTTTATTTATAATTTTTTATTATACAATAAACTTCTTGAAAGCTTTTCTATTAGACAAGGCAGAAATACAATTTGATATTTTCCTACCCGAAAAGGAGTCTTATGCCTCAAGGATGTTGGCACCCTTCCCATTTTGGATATTTTTTTTGTGTCCACATTCTCAGCTACCCTTAGTGCGTAGTAAGTATTACTTAACGTCTAGCGTTTTCTCGTACAATATTTTCACCATTCATTTTAACCCCTTTTGCCGACGTGGTTAACTGGCTGGTCACGTGACTGGCCCACATCCATTGCTTTTAACGTGGTTCAACTCAATGGCGTGGGATCAAAGTATATTTATGAGTAACATTGGCGTCACGCTTTTCGTTGTCCAATCTTCGCCCTTAGAGAATCAATTATACATTTTATGAGAAGTAATAATACACAGGATTGCTGACCCCTTAACAGGTGGAACTTTACTTCTTGACAATTTCTTTTTAAGGACCTCATTGTTCTCTGGCGTTACTTTGCTTTGCTAATTCGGACAATAATCGCGGCTAACTTCTACTAATGGATGGAACAACAGTCACGGTGTATGTACTTGAAGAAAAATATTAAGTATCTTTTCAAGTCTGACTCTTTCTTTCGGAATTTCTTGCATTGTTGATAAAAATTAGCCATGTTCATATTAATATCAAACTTTGTCACCCGATGAATATACTTAGTGTTAATTTTGAGGGTATTAGCAATCTTTCCAATACTCGAATGCTCATTGATGAAGGATTAGTATCACTCGGTGATCACGAGGATCCTATTATAAACAGGGCGACAACGCACTGGGTGCATATGAATACAGTGCATATATACAAATGCTGATTAACACGTGTTTTTTATCGTAGTAATTATTAACAATGCTAATGAGATTGCTACAATATCACGTTCCGGAGGCCTGCCGTATGAACGACCAATCGGAAATTGAAAGAGAAGGAAAAAACAATAAATCTATGGCTAGTGTATGTCGACTAAATTAGATCTGGTTGTACGAAGGTCATGTTCCAATCTGGTTATACCTTACTACGATCAAGTGACGTCTGCATAGATTGATACTATTTCATTTATCAATAGATACACATGTTCATTATAGAATTTATGAATTTGTGACATATGGTTGTATTTATTAAGGTCGGTAATTTGATAAAAAATTATTTTCTTCAACAGCGGAGCGGAAACGCTCGTTTTCGCTCTCGGTGCACAATATACTATTAATATTTCACATTAACATTGTTATTTATTTAAAGAACAACTTTGAACATTATGGTATAAGCTATTTTTGGATGATGTAAAACTTTGAGTCGTAAATTCATGCGTTCACCTTGGGACATTAATGGGAATCGAATAGTTAAAGAAAACGATGAGAATGGACTGGAAGTCAGATAAGAGGATTTACTGATGGATTGATTTTCTTTCTTTATCCTCCATAATTAAGTTCTCTCTGGAGGTACGATATTATTCTTTTTTTCTTTCTTTCCTATAGTCGCTACCAGAGCAGTAATCGGCTTTCGATTTAAAGAGATGCTGGGCTTACGTGAATTACGATTTGCTGATTGTGAATTCATTTTTGTATTTTTATGATGTTTTGATAATGTGACATTTTTTAATAAAGGTAATGATTTCTGAAAGTACGTGGTAACTTTATGTTTCTGATATTGTACCTACATATATTTGCACTGATTTAATTTGAAGGTAACTTAGTTTTGTAGTTTGACTGCACTGGAGTGCATTTTACCAAATATGAAAAATTGGCAAGATTTGGTTTGGTTTGGAAATGACAGTCGTGAAGCATCTGTGTTTATTCAACCTGTGTACCTTTATGTTAGTTGGTTGCTATTCTACAGGCGTGAAACTCATTCACAACATTTCTATGTCATAAAATACATTATAATATTTAATAGTATATAGTATACGGTGTTATATCGGAATAAGGTTGATTTATTGATTCATTATAAATAATAAAGGTTTACATATAATTATTTTCACAAGATATTAGAGCTTATCATATGTGAATTTTCTTTATAACGTCCTCTGTACAAACGATTGTGAAACAATTCTTCATTTAGGTAAGCAATACTTGGTGCTGTACTGTAGATATTCGTCAAACTGTATTTTCTATTTTATCGACGATATAAAAATGATCAGAAGATGGGGCAAAGTACAACCGTCGGGAAGTCAGCGCGGGAAAATCAAAATTGACATGTCTATAATGCCTAAAAAAGTTCCTCCTTAAATGCTCCTTATGTTTCCCTAATTGCTCCGCTGCAACTGTGAGACGATTAATAAATATTCACTAGAACAGAAACTTTTTATTTTCATTCAAATTTCAAATAATCAAATAGATTTTTATATGATTTTCTTGATGAATTACTTGCTCCAGATTTGCTCCGCAATCAAATTTTTATTTTATTAAAGCATCTTTAAATAACAAATAAAATTTGATTTTCTCTTAACACAGCTCCAAACGTAAACAATATGATTGGTTTGCAAACACAGAGATGAGTAGGGAAATGCACAACGCTACGGTTTTAGGCGATACCAAAATTATGACGCTAAATCGTAGCGGCGAGTCCGGAAGTAGAATTTTGTGATCATCGCCTCCGTCGATAACGCGAATCCCGTTGTAGCCGAGCTAAACGCGTAGCTTCGCGGGCAGAGGCTCGCTACTTATCGCTGGTTCCCAAAGCAACACTTACAACGAGGCAGCTCATCGGATATAGCCTAAATACTTTTTTCTTTGCATGATGTCACCAGAATATTTAACATTGGATTGGCATGAAAGTAATAAGGCACTCTATAAAACTCGACACATGTCCTTTTTTAAATTAATTGTTTTTGACCATATTCTATTGTATATACCCACAGAGCGGAAGTATCTAGAATGTTCTACAACATACTAGAATATGGTCAAAAACAATTAATTTAAAAAAGGACATGTGTCGAGTTTTATAGAGTGCCTTATTACTTTCATGCCAATCCAATGTTAAATATTCTGGTGACATCATGCAAAGAAAAAAGTATTTAGGCTATATCCGATGAGCTGCCTCGTTGTAAGTGTTGCTTTGGGAACCAGCGATCTAGATACTTCATGTCACCAGAATATTTAACATTGGATTGGCATGAAAGTAATAAGGCACTCTATAAAACTCGACACATGTCCTTTTTTAAATTAATTGTTTTTGACCATATTCTATTGTATATACCCACAGAGCGGAAGTATCTAGAATGTTCTACAACATACTAGAATATGGTCAAAAACAATTAATTTAAAAAAGGACATGTGTCGAGTTTTCTAGAGTGTCTCATTGCTTTCATGCCAACCTAATAGATACATATTTTAGCGATGTTGTGTAGCAGAACTATTGTTTAAACGTATCAGTAACTATAGAACTCCTTGAGAAATATTGAAAAAGCCTATTGTTGAAACATTTTTAAGAATTTGCAGTGCCAACTCTCATACCCGTATAGCGACTCAATTTTTGGAAAATGTTTCAACAATAGGCTTTTTCAATAGTTTTCGAGGAGTTCTATAGTTCCTGGTAGGTTTTAACATTAGTTCTTGCCTTATCTTGAATTTCAAGAAACTGTGGGGGTGAAAACTATTGGACTCGACACAGATGTACTGCAGAATATACTCTTTCAAATCGGATCAATGGGAAAGCTCAGCAAATGATACTTTTTTGAAAAACTTAAGAACCTAGCGTCTAGACACTATACTTGCTACGTATTTATCATGAATTTAAAAAAAAAACTGTGAAGGTACAAACGATGGAACGCAGTGAAGATCTACTTAAGACTGTACTCTTTCGAATGGGTTAGTCATAGCTAGTATGTATGTGAGTGCCTATCGCAAATATACATTTTGCGAAAGAATATTATAAGGTTTTTCATGTATCAGCGTATATATCTAGAATAATTGTATGCATTGTATTGCGCCGAGTATTTTATGGTAACCATAATAATTGATAAGGAGAAAAGAGATAAGGGCAGTTATGAGCGCATACATTTAAAACAAATGCATGCAGTGTATTGCGTCGAGTAATTTATATAAATGTTAAATAATAAGCTAGCGTAAGTTATCATAAGTTAGCTTATGTAAGCTTATTGTATAAGCTGTAACGTATCTTTCTTGCTCGAAATCGATAGCGAAAAATCCGAAAACTAACCTACAGGTATGACCAGGTATGACTTGGGAGTTAGGGTGGAACAGACCCAACTTCGCCAAAACGAGAACTCTGACGGAACCTATCAGAAGCACGATAACTTAACGGATCCTGTAGATTTTTGGGATCAATCAGCAATAAATCAGCAAACGCAACTGGATGCACGAACGGGAGCGGACGTTTCCGGAAATGCACGGCCGCTCAGGCTGCTGAGTTGAGGTAGAGAGGGTCGGAGTAAGAGTCAGGCAAATAGTGCGATATACAGAGAGCAACGGATCGAGAACGTAACAGAACGAATCGGAAGTATCAAACCGAAATCCCTTCACCAATCAATAAATTGGGAGACTCGCCGGAGTTGGTGCAGCTGATCCGTGAAGGCCGAGAACTGCATCCAGAGGACACTCGGGTGGGCACAGCATTGCACTCTCGGAACACTCACAGAAAATCCACAGACTTTACTGGATATCGCGAGGGTATCTGGTATCGCCTAACTTGCTATACCGTATCGAAACACAGCTAGAAAAACTATCAACAGATATCACGGGACCGCGAGGTAGCTCGTAACACCTCGGTCGAAGCCCCGAGAGAGACTGTTTTGACAACAGCCAAATTTGAGAACTAATCACTTTGATTGGTCGAGATCCTTATAGCCGACAACTCTTCCTTTCCCTCAAGCCGTCCCTTTAAACCAAATCGAGGGTGTTCCTTAGCGGTACGTAACCTGCGGAGATCTTCCACGGCCGTTTCCCCAGGGCATCGGGCGACAGCTGAGTACCAGATCCTTAAGTCGGGTCAGGATGTTCCTCCCCTGCCCTTAACCGTAACAAAATCGTATCTCCGCCCGGTCTACAGCCCTTTGCCCATCTCCAGCGGGGCGCCGGTATCTCACCCGGGCTTCAGCCGGTCCGTGGAGACGTCTCCGTCGGGTACTCTCCTCTGCTGGGCAACTCGGTACGTCAAGACTATCTCCCCACGGCAGATTCGAGCACCTCGACCTCAACTGAACAATACGAAATCTTCCGAGAGCATTGGCGTAACTATACGAATCAACCCGAGAGCGCAGCGTCTGAGCAGGGTAGCGACCCGAAGGGAACCAGAAAGCGAGAACGTTATTTGTATCGGTAGCCGGAGTCGCCTTGTGACCGTGAATCCAAAAATCACGTCACAAAGCTTACCCATGTATGAGCGTATAAATACATCTAGAATAATTGTATGCAGTGTATTGCACTAAGTATTTTATATAAATGTTAAATAATAAGATGAATTTATGGTAACAATAATAATTGACAAGGAGAAAACAAATAAGGGTAGGGATAAGCGCGGGAGACTATGACGCTATGAGCTTAATTAACGTCCCAGTGACCCTGATGTGTTTTAGTTAATATACTGCCACCTCAATTTTTGGAAAATACGTATTTTAACGGTGTTACGTAGCAGAACTATTTTTAAAACCTATCAGGAACTATAAAACTCCTCTAGAACTATTGAAAAAACTTATTGATGAAACATTTTTCAAAAGTCGATGTGCTACACAGGTGTGAAGTTGGCACCGCGTTTTCTTAAATTTATAGAATGACCTTCAGTCTTAACAATAGTTCTCCTACGTATCATCGGTAAAATTGTTCTGTGAAGTTGGTACCTTACTTTCTGAAAAGTCTTTTAACAATAGGCTTTTTCAATAGTTCTCGAGGAGTTCTATCATTCCTGATAGGTTTTAACAATAGTTCTGCTACGTAACATCGGTAAAATACCTATTAAGGATACTACTCGCACCATACGCTTCAGTGCAGCTATGCATAAGGAGCTGGCTTTCAGTGTTGTTTTCAGATTGTGCTTCAAACAGTTCCGAAATAGTTCTCTCAAGTACTCAATGTTGGGACCATAGTTCCGCTTGGAACTATTTTTAAATAATCCTGGAATTTAGCACCGCATCGCTGCACTCCTTAACGCAGGCTTGAGGTGCTGGCTTTCGCCTTAGTAAATCTTATTGTGGTTACACTGTGCACTGAAATTTAAGATTACAACAAAAAATATTTAGGCAATATCACTGATGTGCGGCCTCGTTCTAAGGGTTGCTCTGGGAACCAGCGGTAAGTTGCGGAGAACCTCTACCAGCCAGGCTAAACGTTCGTGATCACGTTCAGCTCGGCTACGACGGGATATGCATTATCGACAGAGGTGATGATCATAAAATCCTACTCCCGGACTCGCCACTCCGATTTAGCGCCATGTTTTAGGTATCGCCTAAAATCGTAGCATTGTGCATCTCCCTACTCATCTCTGACGTGTTCGAAAATGAACCGAGGCAACGATGCTCGCAGGACTCTCGGCTGATCTTCGAACGCAGTTGTTGTGTGTTTGCAAACCAATCATATTGTTTACGGTTGCAATTGTGCTGAAAGAAAAATCAAATTTTACTTGTTATTTAAAGATGTTTTAATAAAACAAATCGGAAGCTAGTAATTCATCAAGCAAATCATGTGAAAATCTGCTTGATTATTTTAAATTCCAATAAAAATAAAAAGTTTTTGTTGTAATGAATATTTATTAATCATTTCACAGTAGTAACGGAGCAATTAGGGAAACATAAGTAGCATTTAAGGAGCAATTTTATAGGCATTATGAACATGTGAATTTTTATTTTTCCGCGCTAACTTCCCATGGTCAAAGTACAACATAGTAATTCCTTATTAATTGTAAGTACAAAAAGCCGAATGAACTTAATGGACTGTATAGATCTACTAGATCAAAAAATACGGAAGACTATTATCATATCCTCAAATCGGATCATAACTTTTAACATTTTAGTATTTAAATTATTTGTCATGCATTCTTAATTAATTCCGTGTTCGAGACATTTTTATACTTGTGTCAATGACGTATAAAGACAAAAATTACCAACAAAACATTCTTAATAGTATATTCAAAAATATAAATAATCTATTTTTGTGGCTTTTAAACATTTTTTAATCGTTCCATAATACAAGATCATATTCACTACCGCCATCTGTGTCGATATTACTGAACCTTCTAAAGCACAACGGGGCGTATACTCTGTAAGATGCCGCATCGATCGTCGCCATGATCGAATTAACAGTAGGTATGTTCGTGCAAGCGTTTTTATGTACTCCGAAGAACTATATAGGTGTGTTCGAAAATGAACCGAGAGCACTGAGGACATATTCTATCTCGATCAAATCCATGCAATGAACAGAGAAGCAACGCACGATGCACTCTCGGTTCATTTTCGAACACACCTGCAGTGCTCCGGGGTACGTAAAAACGCTGGCACGAACGAACCTAGTGACTCTACTCCCGAAACATCTGAGAAACAACAGGAAACATGGCGGCATTGCGCTGTGATGCTGAGTGCGAGGATTTGGCGTGTGCTCCGCGTTTTTAAGGTGTTTCACGTCGAAGGTCAATGTGAAAAGTTAATCGCGAGTGTCAGTGTGTGATGTGTAGTGTTTCATGACGAAGGAATCAGCCCGATACGGCTCTGGAAAATCAAAAACTATTACCCGAGGTGCAGTTCCCGGTTCCTTCGGCAGCAGTGGCAGGTATGTAACTTGCCGTATCACACCCCCTAATGTCAAAAGTCGCAAAAATTTGTCATCGACACTGTTGTACTTTAAAACAAACAACATTCGTCACGATGATTCTCATCATTTGCAACGTCTGAAAAATTACTTGTGTATGATCAGTTACGTGCCGTGTTGTCATCTACCGGGCATTGACTTTTAGTTCGTTCCCTCTGACCCTCACTCCACCCTACATTTCACCTTGTCACTTCTTCACCCTTCATACGTCTCCATCCCTTTTGCTCCCTCCCTTTCTCGTTTACTCAGTCTGGCACGCTCTCTCTCTCCCTCTCTCTCTCCCCTCTCTCTCTCGCACTCACGCACGCTTTATCTCTCCCTCCATGCTCCTCCCTATATCTTTTTCTCTGTGTGCTTCTTGGTTATTCGTTGTTTCTGTGACTTGTTTTTTCTTTTGACGGACGCCACCCGGCAGTAATTCATTGATTATCCGAAATTCATAAGTGTTTCTGAAGCTCGTATACGTGACATATGGGATCGAGTCTTTACTACATGTGCTGATTTTGTGCGTCGGTACATCTCTCCTTTTTAATTTAATTTTTTTTTTTAATAGTGAAATTTCAGCTCCCTTTCATGCCGCATCACGTACTTTGAAATCCTTTTCGATAAACGCCATGATTTTACCTCTGGGTTACTCGATGAATTCAAATTTATACAATGCGATAATGAATATGCATATTGCTACGTTGCCTTTTTGCATTTGCGATATCCTGTTACATGACTAAAACCATGTACGATCATTACGACATTTATTCGGATTCTGTGAGACTCTGCACGAGCTGCACTATAGAAACGTAAAGAATTGGGATATCAGAGTCACGGACTTGTTATTGTCGATGATTGGATCGACCAATCTGTTGGTTGCGTGGCGGAATGGCGTAGGACACTTGGTAGGTTGCGTATAGAAACTATACTATTTATGAGTCGTGTTTTTTACCCATTAAACATCATGTATTTAAACTCTAGTATTTTAAGAGAAATTTATGGTTATTACAGTAATAGTAAAAATCAGTTCAAGATTAACATGTAAATATATTGAGGAGTCATCGTTTTCGATTAAAGATCAAAGTCCAACAGGGCGGTCTATCTATGAAGGCGTTAATATCCATTTAAAATCCCATATATTAAAACTATAAAGTAACAAATAGAATTTTATTCGATTTTGATGTTTTTTTGGAGCATATAGCAATAAATTTGCATAGCCGTCAAGCTTTACCTGATTTTTAGCAATCACGTGACATCGGAATACCATTTTTCTTTTAGCCGCACTGTCCGATTTACCATTTCGCGAATCAGGTAGTGTCCCTTTTTAATACGGAGGCCCAAAGAACGTCTATATTTATATACTGTACACTAAGCAGTACCTCTTCAAAAAGTTCTGTACAAATTAGTTCAGTTTTACATACTCCAATTTACTCCATACTTCAAACCATGGCATTTAGACAATTATAACTATAGTATAACGTTGTAAATTTTTCTTTTTTTTTTCTTTCGTTTTTGAACTTACTGCTTAGTAGTAACTAACGATATTACAGAGCTCAAAAACAACCATTAAAATGTAGCAAATCGTAAAGAGTCACATTTATTTTTCCCAAAAAATTCTTTGGAGTAACGGTTCATTATGCTTGGGCAAGTTGTCCACAGAAAGCCCAGGAATCTTCTCCGTGAAGGTTAGAATGTCGTTAGATCGATCGGTGTGTCGAAAGTGAAGCAATGTTGCCATATCGTGGGATTTATCCCACATGCGGATTTTTTTGCGCATGCACAGTTGATGATCCCATCACTCAGCCGCCATATTTGTATTATCGTAATTCCGTTTTCTTAAAATTATTATTTAAGGCTTCCTCTTTCTATAAAAGTTATCACTACTATGTAATTTCAAATGATCGGAATCGATTTTAAATACGGAAGAATTTACTGAAAAATTTTGAAAACTACATAAAATTCTCAATTACAACATTCGGTATTACTTTCTTTCTTGTTTTTCTCAAGACTGTCTATTTTGTAATTTCAGACATTATTTTTGTTGAGATTGTGTACACAGAATATCTGATAGGTAAAATTATTTTATAATGTTTTCACTATTTTAAACTTATGACGCAAAACTGTTCATTGAATGTCATTTCGGCGAGTCGACTATACGTATTTGAACAGAGGAACAGAAAATTACACGCGAAGGATTTTCCCGAGTAGTTTGTACGCATGCGTGTTAAGGTATGGACCACAGTTAGTCGCACTATCTGACAAAACTAAAGTGAAGGTCGATTTGGTCGAATCGCGAGGATCGACAACGTCTTTGGGTCGCGATCTTAACGAGACATCGAATTAGAATAAATGAAGGGCGTACATTTTTTAATGGATCGATAAGATCAGATTCTTTCAAGGGGTTGCCACCCTTCGTTCCTCGTAACAGCTACTATATTCGCATCTGATGTTGGTATATTCCACGTACACATTTTTTCTCTTCTACGCACAAATCTTAGCCCGCACGCACATGAGTCTCATGCGTCGGGTCGTCGAGAGGGACCAGCCATCGATGAGCACGCAGGTCTATAACATAGGGATATATCTATGCGTGCACTCCTTATATAAACGTATATGGCCGGCATGTATGCAATATAGGTCAGGCGCTCTTCAACAAGGGGGTCATTGCCCCGGGCTTGTCTGTCGGTAAAACAGTTGTTTATTGACGGATTGTTCCTATTTTACCGACCGTACCTGATCCGCTAGATGGCACTGGCCGTGTATCCGGTTGTTTACGCGGGTAAACCACTTGTTTTTTTGTTCTCTTTCCCAAAGGAAAACTGGACGGTTATTAAGAATAAAATATATTAGCGAGAAATTTGTTTGGAAGTTAGTTGCTTATTGTACGGCTATAGATAAAGTAACAATGAAGAAGGTATTGTTCTTTGCTTTAAGGTGCAATATGATTCTAGATATTTTGAAAATAGTGATTGATTAAGTCTCGTCTGTTGGTATTAAAAGAAGTGGGGTAGGTAGTTTATTATAATTCTCCTTCTCTTTGAGAATTCTTGGCTTATGACGTGTGTGCTAGTTCTCATTATATGATTCAAACCACGTTTCTCTCATCAAGTCTGTACAGTCTTGATCATATGTATATTATAAAATAATCTCAGGGAGAATTATAACATTTTTCTGTATATCATATAATACTATAGTCTTTAACAAAACATATAAACTTCAGCAAAACCATTTATGTATTATATGTATATGATTATTAATATTCGTCGACAAGTAAATTATTGCTACAATCATCTATCGTGGATTCAATCCTCAGTTTTTGTATTTCTTATGCCGAAACCTGAAACCTCATTTTCTTTTAACGCACGGACCATATTACGGATTAGAAGTAAGTATTAGATCCAAAGAAATGAAATAAATCGTTTATATCATAACTGAAAGCATCCCTCCGGCATTATTAGACTATAAATATCGTGGCAAAAAGAGTCTTTGCTGCATTATAAGGTAACTGGATATTTTATCTTTATCAAAGTTATAACATGAAGTACCAGCGCCTAATAATCTACTGTAAAATTTATACTGATCCAAAGAAGGAATATACGGAGCTGCCGCTAAAGCCAGCGGTAACCCCATGAAATCCCCACGTCAATCCCTAAGGACCACAAGGTGGCAGCCGGTGACGTAGCAAGGTGCTGAAGTCCGACATATCCAAGCAAAATGACTGGTCCTTGTCACCGTTACGTGAACATCAAATAAATTGTTAGGTTCAAGGTCGTTGCGATCAGTTTGTCAGTTGAGTTCTCACGCAGCTTAAATATAACATCGGAACGTCAGTCAGGGTTAGCTAACTTCTCGATATATTTATCAAAGACCAGCGGGTTCACTAGCCTCTTGACGAATTAACGCACCCGCACGCAACACATGATATTTGCCATTCTTTCGCTTCGACTTTCTCACCTCACCTCGTCACTTCCTGTCCCTTGATATCGACCCTATATCTACAAAGTTCTTCAGTTCATTTGTAATTCCTACCGAGGATGTCGTTTCTTAGGGACGCAGTGACACCACTCCACTTACAGCCGAATCCGAGTAGCGAAACGTCACTGTCGTCTACTGTACAGGGCTAGACATAGTTTTTGAAAATTTCAAATTCCGAGTATACACCGAGATTCGATAATTGCTTCAGGTGATTTCGGCGAATCGAAATCGATCTCCCTTGTACACCAAGCGCGGATGTAAGAATTCGAAATCCGGGTGGTTCCTACGGTGCGTTCGTGTGGATGGCGAAGGATCCGACGGATGCGGATTCACAAATGACGAATGCCCTTGATCGGTGTGGCCTCGGCCTTGAAAGAAGGGAAACGTGGAGATCGATGGGCGATAGCCGAAGGATTTTCCCACGGGACGTGGACGCAGTGCTTCACGAGGGTATAACGTACATCTGCTTTTTCCAAAGTCAAGATTATCGAAATGGTAAGTACCGTGCGGTAGAAGTCATACTCCGTACTAACTCTTTTTCGTACACTGAGGTAGCTCTGAAGTCGAAGAGAAGGTTCGCGTGACATGGATCGACGTTGCGACTAATCGACCGATTTTCTCCTGCGAATAGGATAAGAGATTTCTGATATTAAATAATTCGTGGGAACCCTGTCACCAGGGAGGACGCACCTTGGTACAGGGTTCCCGGCATGTGGGAAATCGGCCGAGCGTAACTTAGGTAATGATCGATTTCTGCAATTGATAAGGGTCGCGTTTCACCGGCTAAAAGTACATTGCATACTGAACTCCATCGACGGCGTCCTCCTCCTGGGAATATGGTAGGAGACTCTGTGACTGGAGGGGCTGACCCCGCCATCGGCGGAGTCAACTGGGCAGGTCGGGATTGTTATTGTGCAGTCGGCGAACATTGGCAGTAAGCGGAACTGTGTAAGTAATCGTGTGCTGCGATTTCCCGCACCTTTCCTATAGCTATCGCGGTCACCTCTATCTCCGTCAGCCTGTTGTGACTGCAGCCGAGGCCGGGAAATCGTTCTGTGGAGGAACTTCTTCTTCTTGATCCTTTTTGACTTTATGCTCCAGAGAGCCAAGTGCCAGGTAGAGAAACGTCAGTTGTACGAGGAAAACATACATGGGAGTTTAGGTTCTGGTTTAACACGTTGATAGACTGGCAGTAAATTTATAGACGACCCGGCGGGCTCCCTGCGAGGGAATCGGCTAGGATATACTTCACAATACACTTTTCTATGTTTTTGCAGTGGAAGAAGATCCACACTCTCTTGGTCTGCCGGAACCTGAGTTCTCCCTAGGAACCTCGGATTCCCTGGAATTCCTCCTCACGGATGTCGAAAAACCTAGGGCGACCACATAGGAGTTTCAACATATAACCTATGCCATAATTAAAGGCTAATTAAAGGCTATTTTAGTGCTCCAAAAATAATTTTTCCGCTCCACCCCTAATGCCAAAAATGCATGGACTTCCTAAGTGTAGATTAAGCTGGGAGGACCACAGTCAAAACAATGTTAAAGGTAAGTGTTATAGAATTTTAGTTTACATATTATTTAACCGCTTTTTAAAGGCTGTCGAATGAGACCAAATTCGATCGAATCGGACCACCCTATCCCAAGATATATACACCCCCTGGGTGTCCCGAACTGGATTTTTTAAATCTCTGAATACACATTAGCGATGTAGTCGTATCCAATCTAAAGAATCATTCATTTATGCGCACGCAATTAATCTTAAAATTCGTCTTGAATTAACGGCTCGACATTTCTGCAACAACTAATTTTACCGCTTCATCCCCTAGGTCAGAACTCACCCCCTCTTTACCTATGTCCTTGTATCTCGGCGTACGAGAAAGGTAGGACGTTGCAATTGGTCTTACACTTCGGCTCACTTGCATATCTCTGTGCAGTAGCTACGTATAACAGCGAATGAAAGAGGTTGCTCTTGGCTTCTAGACCTTGAGTAACTCCCAAGTTCTGTCGCACTGTTGTGCACACGCTTAGATTATCCATATACACGTACAGGAGCGATGGCAGTGCGGAGAAACCCAACGGACCATGTTTGCTCCTGGCGGTGGGAAATAAAATTTTCACGGCTGATTGTCAATTTCGTTTTTGTTCCTTGTGTGGCTGTTGCTAGTGGAAATAGTGGCTGGAGAACCGTCGGGCATTAATCACCGCTGGTTATCGCGCATCGCGCTTATAGACACCGAGGCGTGTCTAACATGACTTGAAACGGTTTGGCGATCGACTCACGTTCCACGGCACGGGCCACTCTCGCTTAGACTTTATATAAAGTGCCTCCGTTCCTCTGGCATTAACAGGTAGCGGATGCCTCTTAGTCTTCTTTTCGATTTATTGATATGGGTGGAACTGTAGGAACACTTTGTTGTAACATCGGGGTAAGTGCATAAGGATCCTGGAACAGTGCACTTGGACTGTTCACGGGTATTACAAATGGACGTACAGGGTGATTATGAGAATACTATCATTTCAAAATCAATTTGCATGCAAATATGTATACAGTAATGCGCAATTGAAGTGGAAGACTTGAATTTTTGTGTATCTCTACGAAACTATGACCGATTTAAAAAAACCAAAGATATACTTTTTAGGAAATTTCCTTCCCGTTCGAATGGTAAAGGTTTTATCCCGATCGGATACAAAATGGCCGAATGGCAGTGGTTGGAGTGAAAAAGTGCATTTTGGAACTTTTTGAAAATTTCGAGATCTAGTAGTTCCGGAAGGAAATTTATATTTCTAATCAGGGAACGAGAGAGAGCATCCTTCGGCATTAAAAAAACACACCCATTGAACCCCTGTAGGATCACTCTAGGGGGAGTTACACCCCCTTGAAGTGAAAACACTTAAATGGCCATAACTTCCGAACGCGCCGGCCAATCTGGTCCAGTTTCTGCATGATATCATATTTAATGATACTGCAGATTCTTACAAAATTATTGTTCTCGGAGATGATCCCGTGACGGAGATCTCGGGATTTCGCAAGCGCACCCGAAGCTTCCCCGCTATTTTTCATTAGGAAAGCGATGAAATAGAAGTTTCATTTTTATCCACGTTGTAGCTGAGATTTCAACGATTAAAACGCGCTTTTAAACATCCGAATACGAGTGCGCTAAGGGGTTGTATTATCCCTTTGAAAAAAACGCCTAAATTTTGCGATTTTCGCTCGAGATACGGGGGAGACAATCGCTAGGCGCGCGTGGTGGGGTAGTCGGCCGACCGAGCTGCGGAGAGACGTGTAGCGGGGCAACCGCTCAGGACCGTTTGATCCGCCGCGCTGACAATGGCGCATACTAGAAGTTTTTTAAAAATAATAATTAAAACAATTTGTTTGTTTTTATTTTTCATTTTTTCTTTTATTTGTTTATTTATTTATTTATTGGTTATTTTATTCAATTATTTTTTGACGTTAATTTTCTTACTTTTTCTTATTCTTTTGCATCTTAAACCTCTCAATTACCATGCATAATTTAAATTAAGAATAAAAGAAATATGAATTCTCATGGGGTATACCAAAGAATTCTACGGCCGAAGACGGAAGGTTTTTTTAATTAAATGTTAATCTATTTAAGGTGACTGCAAAATCGAAACGAAACAATGCCCTTACACTTGTATGTTTTATGCCAGATTTAATGACTCTCCCGCTAAGCTGAGAGGTACGGGGGAGGCCTCGCATTTTTTTTCAGGAAATTTTTCTAGGAACATTTTCTTATTTTTTACATTTCTTTTATTCTTAATTTAAATTATGCATGGTAATTGAGAGGTTTAAGATGCAAAAGAATAAGAAGAAAAAGTAAGAAAATTAACGTCAAAAAATAATTGAATAAAATAACCAATAAATAAATAAACAAACAAATAAAAGAAAAAATGAAAAATAAAAACAAACAAATTGTTTTAATTATTATTTTTAAAAAACTTCTAGTATGCGCCATTGTCAGCGCGGCGGATCAAACGGTCCTGAGCGGTTGCCCCGCTACACGTCTCTCCGCAGCTCGGTCGGCCGACTACCCCACCACGCGCGCCTAGCGATTGTCTCCCCCGTATCTCGAGCGAAAATCGCAAAATTTAGGCGTTTTTTTCAAAGGGATAATTTAACCCCTTAGCGCACTCGTATTCGGATGTTTAAAAGCGCGTTTTAATCGTTGAAATCTGAGCTACAACGTGGATAAAAATGAAACTTCTATTTCATCGCTTTCCTAATGAAAAATAGCGGGGAAGCTTCGGGTGCGCTTGCGAAATCCCGAGATCTCCGTCACGGGATCATCTCCGAGAACAATAATTTTGTAAGAATCTGCAGTATCATTAAATATGATATCATGCAGAAACTGGACCAGATTGGCCGGCGCGTTCGGAAGTTATGGCCATTTAAGTGTTTTCACTTCAAGGGGGTGTAACTCCCCCTAGAGTGATCCTACAGGGGTTCAATGGGGGTGTTTTTTTAATGCCGAAGGATGCTCTCTCTCGTGCCCTGCTTAGAAATATAAATTTCCTTCCGGAACTACTGGATCTCGAAATTTTCAAAAAGTTCCAAAATGCACTTTTTCACTCCAACGGATCATCTCCGAGAACAATAATTTTGTGAGAATCTGCAGTATCATTAAAGATGATATCATGCAGAAACTGGACCAGATTGGCCGGCGCGTTCGGAAGTTATGGCCATTTAAGTGTTTTCACTTCAAGGGGGTGTAACTCCCCCTAGAGTGATCCTACAGGGGTTCAATGGGGGTGTTTTTTTAATGCCGAAGGATGCTCTCTCTCGTGCCCTGCTTAGAAATATAAATTTCCTTCCGGAACTACTGGATCTCGAAATTTTCAAAAAGTTCCAAAATGCACTTTTTCACTCCAACCCCTGCCATTCGGCCATTTTGTATCCGATCGGGATAAAACCTTTACCATTCGAACGGGAAGGAAATTTCCTAAAAAATATATCTTTGGTTTTTTTAAATCGGTCATAGTTTCGTAGAGATACACAAAAATTCAAGTGTTCCACTTCAATTGCGCATTACTGTATGCAGGGTTATTCGGTTAAAGCACATCATTTGATGTTACCATCGTCGTTTTGTTTCTATTAAAGAATCAATTTCAGCTGATGCGCGTGCAGTTAACAACCTTGTATGTACATACGTGTCACGTGTTTAGCGTAAAGACGCGGTTACACGGCGCATCGTACGGCGAACCAGGAAAATAGCGCGCGATTAACGGTTCTGCAGATTTGTGATGCAAAATCGATTAAAAAGATGTAAGAAAGAGGTGGCGGTTAACGTTGGACAGAGTTTGTGCAGAAAATTTGTTCAATGCCTTTGGAAACGTAGACGATCTAAATTTATTGATCAGCTGCGCAAACTTGACGTTCCGCGTTGTCCGCGATACGCCGAAACTGTACGATCCAACGTGAACCTGCACGAATTTCTACGAACGATGCACGGATCATCGTGCTCGCCTCCTTCGATCTGTGCAAATTTACCGACAGCCGGCCGGAACCTTTGAGTCAGGCAGCCTGAACCGCGAGTCATAGCGAGCCAGCTATGCCGAACGGGTGTGTGTGAAGTTAGCATATCAGTTGTTAGAATCTCACAAAGAAACGGTTGATTTACTTGCATCCCACATAGTTCTATAGTTCATAACCATTTTTAGCGAAGGGATGAGATGCGAGCTTCGCATTTGACCTTCCAGCATCTCATGATATTTCGACTTCCAAAGCCATGAAAATATGTTTCCCACATAGTTCTATAGTTCATAACCATTTTTAGCGAAGGGATGAGATGCGAGCTTCGCATTTGACCTTCCAGCATCTCATGATATTTCGACTTCCAAAGCCATGAAAATATGTTTCCCACATAGTTCTATAAGATTTCCAGCATTTTAGGGACAGTTCTACTAATTTAACCGTAGAAAAAAATTTAAGGTGTACGGTTATATATAACTCGAATAATCGAAAAAGGGGAGATGTTGATCTTTAAATGTAAAATCTGAGCTCGATTATGGTCAGGATCAATAGTTCGGATGTCTCTGGAAGATCTAGTGAAAAGTTCTCGTCGCTAGCCCTCTCCGAATAATTATTAATAATTATTTATTACTCCGGAGTACTGACTCAGA